CAGCTGAGTCAGGATTTCCTGTTCCTTAAGGTGCAGGACATCCTAACGGACAGACTCCCCAATTTAAAGCAAGCCGGAGAATTTGTCTGGAGAGACCCAACCCAGCTTCACATGCTGGGGCTTGGGATGACAGCTGTGACCACCCATCACGAGTCACTGCAAGAGGATAGCAGCAAGTGCCCGCAAAGGTGACTGTCCCCACACCCATCAGCTCCACCAACATTTTCATGAGGTGCGCCAGACACTAATTTTATCAGCACTTAAATATTGAAGACAAAAACAGCCAGCATTGCTTTGCTTTCATAAATATTTATTTAGTGCCTGCTATGTACGAGGCGCTGTGTTTGTGCCAAGGAGATGCAGATGGACAAAGCATAATGAGCTCACCGTCTAGCGTGGGAAACTAGACATGTAACCAGGAACTATCATAAAGTGACTGATGCCAGGTGGTTGGTCCCCATAAGATATTATGAGAACCCAGGGGAATAAAATCTTACTTTTGGATGAGAATACAAGTTTGGAGAGGTGTCTTACAAGTAGGGAGTCTAAAGTGACAGGTCATGGGTGGACCTTGGGAATATTATGCTAAGTGAAACAAGTCAGGCAGAAAAAGCTGAGAACCATGTGATTTCACTCATACGGGGGCTACAAAATGGACACTCATGAACACAAACAGGTGTGGTGGTCGCCAGAGGAAGGGGGTGGGGGCTTAAGGGAGTCCTAGTATATGATTACAGAAGATGATTGGACTTTGGGTGGTGGGCACACAGTACCATATATACACCTTGTAACATACAAACCCACACCTGAAACCTATCCTATATAATCCTGTATAATAAAAGGCCAAGAGGTGTCACGACCGAAATGACCAAATGAACGTTCACAATGAGGGGACCCATGCCATGATCAGGGGCATGGCCGCCCTTCCAAGTGCAGGTGGCTCCTCACGCAGGCCCGCCAGTGCCCCAGAGGGGACCCGAGTCTCAGGCTCCCCACCCTCGTGAGCCTGCATCTGGTCTCACCAGCGGCTGCTGCTCCCCTCAGCCATCAGCCCACCGGCACAGGAGGAGAGGAGAGGAGGAGGAAGCTGCCAGTGTGAATGAGATCAGAATCACAGATTGCCCTGCTAAAAGCCACACACTCCCACCAAACATCAGTCCTATAGATGTTTAGGCTCTCCCAGTGTACCTCCATGCCCTGCCTCTGCAGATAGGACCCCGCCCCTGACATGGCTTCCTCCAAGTAGCCACCATCTTGGGAAGGTCAATGCCTGGCTGACTGGCCAGGCCTCAGACAGTAGATGCCCCGCAGACGCCATGACGAAGAGGTCATGGAGGGTCAAGACACTGCCTCTGGTTGAAGCAGGTGCTGTGGGAGCAAAGTGACCAAAAGAAATGGTTATGTCCAACAGCCATCTAACGCCACACATGGTGTGTGAATTAGTCATTGTTAGAGCCGAATTTAGTACTGGTGTGCCCCATTTTAAGCAGACACCCCCCTCCCCAAATAGACTTACCATGTTGATAATCCACTTTACTACAGAAAGAATGTACAAAGATTCTTGAAATAAGCAAAATATTTTGCACCTCATAGTACGAAACGTTTAAACATCATTAAAAATAACCTCTATGAGTAAAGAGTTGATATTAACAAAATCTAATAGCCCCAATTCAAAATGCCACTCAGAAATGCATTCACTATGTAAAATCAAAGTATGGGACCTAGGGCTTGGAAAAAGCAACTTTACTCCATTCTACCTACTCATCCCCTCAGACTTATACTTTGCACAAAAGTCTCAATAAAGAGATGGAGCAGAAGGAGAAGTAATGCCTCAGGGCTGAAATTTACCTGGTTCTTTAACAGATATTTATAAAAGTTTTAACTTTGTGCCTGTATTACAGAAACACAATACAGCGCTGTCCCCATCTTAAAAAGGACTTAAAGTCTCTGAGAATTCCCGGTAAGGTAAACCTGTAAACAGTCAAAGCAGGATCAGATTCCAATACAATTCTTATCATAAAAATTACTGAGTAAAAAACTGTCCTCACTCTCCCTCTAGAACAAGAATTAAAAGGAGCCAAAACCAGTTTGGCTCAGAGGATAGAATGTTGGCCTGTGGACTGAAGGGTCCCGGGTTCGATTCCGGTCAAGGGCATGTACCGAGGTTGCGGGCACATCCCCAGTAGGGGGTGTGTAAGAAGCAGCTGATGGATGATTCTCTCCCATCAATGTTTCTAACTCTCTATCCCTCTTCCTTCCTCTCTGTAAAAAATCAATAAAATATATTTTTTTAAAAAAAAAAGAAAGAATTAAAAGGAGCAAATAAGTATAATGAATGAACCCAAACTCCTTTGGGCACCCAACCCTCAGGGACTAACACAGGTTCTGTGAGGCCTAAAGTATACTGAACCAGAAGGACTAATTTATTTTTTTTTGGAGGGGGGAGATGGGGGATTTTTAAATAAGGTTCAAAAATGACCTTATTTAGAATAAGAAAATAGATTACAAATAATTGTAGGCTTGGGAAATCTGTCCCTTTCTCTTTTAAATCATTTCAGGCAGCAGACCATCCAAATGCTGCTGGAAGCAACTTGCTTGCTCTCTCCCCCAGAACGATCCAGCCCTCACAGCGGCTCTGAAGCTTCCTTAGTTTTACCATAAAAATAAAAACAAAATAACATTTCAACAACACTCCTTTCTGGACAAAACTCTTTCTTTTAAATTTTTTTAATTTTATCAAAGGAGTAAATACATAGTTCATAATGTATCTTTTTCCCCCTCTAATAGGTGTGTAGTGTAGTGGTACAGCATTGTTGCTTTTATTCTATTGTTGACACTATTATAGATGTCTCCCATTTCCTCCCTTTACCCTCCTTTACCCATCCCCCCACCTCTGGCCATCACCACACTTTTGTCTATGTCCATCTCCCTCCCCTCTGACCTCTATCAGTCCCTTCCACCCTATATAATAAAAGGCTAATATGCAAATCGACCAAACGGTAGAACCACCAGTCGCTATGATGCACATTGATCACCAGGGGCAGATGCTCAACGCAGGAGCTGCCCCCTGGTGGTCAGTGCGCTCCCACAGGGAGAGTGCTGCTCAGCCAGAAGCCCAGAGCTGGGCTCACGGCTGGCGAGTGCAGCAGCCAGCGGTAGCACTAAGGATGTCTGACTGCAGGCTTGGGGAGGGGCCTAAGCCGGCAGTCAGGCCTCCCCCAAAGGCTCCTGGACTGCAGGAGGGCACAGGCTGGGTTGAGGGACCCCCCCCCACGAGTGCACGAATTTCGTGTTCCTGGCCTCTAGTATGATCATATTAACCAATGTCTCCTGTGGAGAGCGGCTACAGCGTTCAGGCAGGATCAAGCCTCAGACTGACTTGTGGCAAAGCCACAAACAAGTCCCCGCTTGGAGGGCAACGCCCTCCCAGCACAACTATAGTCAAAAAACTATGGTTATAAGCTTGACCTTAGAGTCCGACCCCGCAGTCCTAGGTAGCTGGGGGATGTGGGCCGCGGGGGGTGCAGCAAGTGCTGCCAAAACAAGGCTTGACAGAGTTCAGAGAATGGCAACAACAGGAAAGCATATTTGAAATTTGCAAGAACATTGTAAACATCTTGCCCTTGTTTTTGCTTTGTGTGATTTGACTATAAAATAAAGACTCAGCTTACAGGCTGTGTCACTGTGTCCTCATCCAGGCACAGTGATCCACCTGGTCCCAAATGTATTCTCTTGATCATTTTCTTTAGTCCTTCACTGCCCCTCCTCAGGTTCAATCACCTCAATAAATTTAATTTTTAAAAAATGTAGATAGGAGAGAAATAAGAGGAAAAAATAATCCAGGAAGACTATGTTCAAAGTCAGAAGCAGGAGGTCCTGGCTAAGTGAGGGAGGCAGGAGGGGTCTAGTGGGGTCAGAATAAGTAGGGTGGGCATAGGGGGGTAGGGACGGGAAGCTGGAAAGAGGTTTTGGGCTCAACTGAGAATAGTTATGTCTGCCCGGCAAAGTTGTATCAAGGTCAATGGAAGCTTTTATAAGGAGGTGATGTGCTCTGAGCCCAGCTTCAATCAGCCTCATCTAGTGACAATGGGTGTGACTCTCTGGAACGAAGGACAGGGGAAAGGAGGCCAGGATAAAAAGAAGTAGAGTCTAGACGAGAGTCATAGGTGGTGACAATGAGCGTGAAGAAGGCACCGGGGGAGATGGAGGCAGAATGGGGAAGACCTGGCCATGGACTCAATATGGAAGCAGCAGGGGTCATGGAGGGTGGGTAGAAGATGGCCACGGTTTTATACCTAGAGATGAGATCCACTCACAGAGCTGGGAGAGTGCAAAGAGGAGAAGGTTTGAATTTGGGACAAGAAAGGAGGGAAGCGGGGAGCCCGGATGCTGGCGGACATCCAGGGGGAGGGACTTACAGGCAGTCCCGAGTTCGGGGCAGGGGTCGGAGCTGGAGCACAGACTAGGCAGTTGTCCGTGCAGTGGCGACAGCAGAAGCAACGCTGAGCTGGCCCTGCCTTGCCATGGAAGGATGCTCTGGAGTACAAGCTGCGGTCCTGTTTCCCTTAAACGTGGAATTCTCACAGAAAATTCCTAAGTATGATGATGCATCACAGGAACGATGCTGTTTCTCTCCGTGTGCCCTCCCCCCCTCGCTCCCGAGAAACGACTTCCGCAGCTGTAATTCCAAGCGGGAAAGGTGCCTCCACTGTGGAGGGTCATTCCGAAAAGACAGACTCCAATGAGAGTCTTCTAAACTTGTCATTATCCCTTATTTTGAAGAGTTTTCTGTAGTAAAATTACTTTTCTAAGGATTTCAGAAAAGCTGTTGTTGGACCCCCACTCAGACAGACAGGAGAACGTCAGCATCGTCCCCACGCGTGTGGAAATACACACCCTCTCGGTTTTATCATCGGCGGTCCCCTTTAATCAAGGCTGGGTCAACGCTCCGCCCGGCCCGCCAGAGTCCCCCCACCAGCAACACGCGTCGGGGGGAGAGGTCAGATTTTCCAGAAAACCTTCTTTCTGTAGAGAACGTAGGCGATGAGCACCCAGAGCGCGGTGGCGACGAGGTTCTGGACGAGGTGCTCCTTGTGCGACTGGTTGTCCTGCAGCCGCCACTGGAAGGGGAAGTAGTTCTTGAACACCTCGTGGCCCACGTACACCAGGATGGAGTTCATTCCTGGAGCAGAGAGACGGTCGGTCGTGTTTTCCTTCCACTCATCTATTTAACTCCCTTTTTAAAAAATACTTGTATTGATTTCAGAGAGGAAGGGGGACAGAGCTAGAAACATCAATGATGATTGAGAATCTTTGATAGACTGCTTCCTGCACGCCCCCTACTATAGGGGATCAGGCCCGAAACGTGGGCGTGTGCCCTGACCAGGAATCGAACTAACGTCTCCTGGTTCAGAGGTCGGTGCTCCACCGCTGAGCCACGCCAGCCGGGCTCGTCTACTTAATTCTTGAAATTTGATTTTAGTTCAGTGGAAAAACAAACAAACGCATGCACTGACATTACTGGCTACTGTCAAAAACAAGTGGTGCATATCTTAACTCAAGTGTAAATTATGTTAAAAATTATTAGAAAGTCTTCCTTTCGTAACAGCGGAATTCTTGAATATTAAATCTGAAAGGAAAGCAAAATTTTAACTCAGATTTCCTCACAGAAAACTGGAGGTCCGCCAATACTGGTTTGGCTCAGTGGATAGAGTGTCGGTCTGCGGATTGAAAGGTCCCGGGTTCGATTCCAGTCAAGGGCATGTACCTTGGTTGCGGGCACATCCCCAGTAGGGGGTGTACAAGAGGCAGCTGGTCAATGTTTCTCTCTCATCGATGTTTCTAGCTCTCTATCCCTCTCTCTTTCTCTCTGTAAAAAATCAATAAAATATATTTTTTTTAAAAAATAAGAAAACTGGAAGACCAAAGAAAGCAACTATGACTAGAACCAGAGGGAGGCCATGAGTCACTGAAGGTACTGGGCCTGTCGGGCTCCAGGCAGACCTGCACTGTAACCATCCTGCTTATCTCTTGGTATCATCTCTTGACATTTCTTCTGTATCGTCTGTAAGGCGGTGCATTTACAGTAGGAAAGAAAGAATGCCCCATCTCTAAAGCATTGGAAATGGGATGATAGGCCCCAAATTGTGGCTGGAGGCAAACCAACAAGATCTAAGTAGGTAGACTGGACAGGCCAGGGCTGTCCTGGGTGGCCTGGGCCAGCGTGGCTCCTGCCGCTTCCTCTCTGAGCCTGCAGTCTGGGGACGTTCCACCCGGCTGGGGCTCGAGGCCCCCTGAGGGCACACGCTGCTGGTCTCTGGGCCAGTCCAGCTGGTCACTGCAGCAACTCTGTCTGGGTTGGGGAACTTACCCGGGTAGTGGAACGGGGATCCTGTCCACAGTCCCTTCACATCCACGATGGGGTACAGGACGAGCAGGATGAAGAAGGCGAAGGAGCTCAGCGTGGTGACGTACGAAATGGACCTGGGAGGAGGGGACGAGGTGTCTCGGGGCTCCTGAGAGCACATCAACGCGCGCAGCACCGGGCACCAGGCCGGCGCGGCCGTTTCCTGTACCTACCAGAGGTTCTTGTTCACCGGAACAAAGCCCTCGTTTTCAGAAACCTTCGTCAAAACGACAGAGATCAGCCCCTGTAACGAGGGAGAAGGATGTTAAAGGTTTTTTTTTCTATTACCTCACAAAACAATTATGTTTCAAACCTGGAGAACAATATGTATGTCATTGCTTAGGGAGGGCTGAAATTGTGTCATATCTTATACTTTTAACTGGAAAAAAACATTTTTAAGATGCATAACTAAAAATGTTCTCTAAAAATATTTTTCCAGCGTTCCTCTGAAAGAATGCTACCTGTTGCGATGTGGTGACAGCTGATACACAAGTGTTGCTAAACATTTTTTAACTGAAATACGTTTGCCTGAAGGAAAGGACTGTTAGGGAGGACCGTCGATACTCACTAGAAAACAACACCAGGCCGTGAATCTGATCAGGATGTCCTTGGTCTGATCTTTGTAATACAGGAGTATTTTTCCTGCCTGGAAAAGACGACACAGTCTGACCAAGAGAACCACCGAAGGTACATTCTAATCTCACATCCCTCCATCCTCTCACCGCTCCACTGAGCCCTCAGCCAGGCACACGGCTTGGCGTGGAGATTACAAAGAGGAAAGGCATGTGACCCACCCCCCTCCCGCCCTTGCCTCGTGGAGACTGAGAGGCACAGGGACCACATGAGGGAGGAAGGCATTAGAGAGGAAGTGCCACAGAATTGAGGCTACGAGTACAAAGCGGGAAGGGCATTCGGGCCCACTGGAACAGCAAGCCCGGAGCAGGTGACAACGGGTGGAAACGCCCACCAGCCCTCAGTGCCGCAGGTGATTCAGAAAGGCTGGGCGGTGGGCCGGATGCGAAGGGCAGGCAGGTGGGCCTGTGGCCTGTGGGTCTCACCGGCAGGCAGGCCTTCTCCCTCAGGTCTGCCCTGGAGGAGGGACAGGGACAACGTGGAACTGGAGGCAAGGAACACTTTGAACACAGTAAACCCTGAACTTTGCATAAAAATCACCCCAAATTAAGAACTAATTTTGGGAAATATCCAACTATAAGAAAGTGTTATTTATAATAATAGCTAAATTTTATGAATGTTTTCAGAACTTTACATGAATTAAGTTATTTAATCCACTCAACACCTTTATGAAGTAGGTGCTATTGAAGCTCAGAGGGGTCAAATAACGTGCCTGAGGCTACCCAGCTAGTTGCGGGGGGTGTGTGTGTGGGGGGGGGGGGCTGGTAGACCTGGTTCAAACCCAGGCAGCAGGTTTGCACTCTTCAGTCCTATGCTGCTCCCGCAGGCGCAGACTTAGCTAGAGAGCATGTGCAGGAATTAAATGAAAGTACAGTGTAAACTACAAAGTGCTGTGAAGATAAAGGCAGTATTTCTAAATACGAAATTATTTAACCACCCAATTGTATATGCTTTCCAACTACACTATTCAAAACAGAAGCCAGGAGCCAGAGGTGACAACCGAAAATTAAATTTACTTAAAATCTAACCCTGGCCAGTGTGGGTCAGTGATTGGACATCATCCTGTGCAATGAAAGGTTGCCGGTTCGATTCCCCGTCAGGGTATATGCCCAGTTTTCAGCTTGATCCCCAGTAGGTGGCATGCAGGAGGTAGCCAATCAATGTTTCATTCTCCAATCAATGTCTCTCTGTCTCTCTCTCTCCTCACTTCCTCTCTCTCAAAAAAACAAACAAACAAAAAATCCCCATAGAAATAGTTTTAAAAATTAAATAACATTTAAAATTCAGCCCCTTTTCCCTGGTCAGGTAGCTCAGTTAGTTAGAGCGTCGTTCCAATATGCCAATGTTGCAGGTTTGATCCCTGGTTAGGGCACATATAGGACATATAGGACATATAGCACATATAGGGCACATATAGGGCACACATAGGACACATCAGCTAATGATTGCTTAAATATTATAAGTGGAACGACAAACCAATGTTTCTCTCTTTCTCTCTCCCCTTCCTCTCTCTAAAATCAATAAATAAAAAAATTACTTAGCCGAAACCGGTTTGGCTCAATGGATAGAGCGTTGGCTTGGGGACTAAAGGGTCCCAGGTTCGATTCTGGTCAAGGGCATGTACTTTGGTTGCAGGCACATCCCCAGTAGGGGGTATGCAAGAGGCAGCTGATCGATGACTCTCTCTCATCGATGTTTCTAACTATCTCTCTCCCTTCCTCTCTGTATAAAATCAATAAAATATATATTTTTAAAAATTACTTAAAAGAATAAACTAACAGCCAAAACCAGTTTGGCTCAGTTGGTAGAGCATCGGTGTGCAGACTGAGAGGTCCCAGGTTTGATTCCTGTCAAGGGCATGTGCCTTGGTTGCGGGCACATCCCCAGAAGGAGGTATGCAGGAGGCAACTGATCGATGATTCTCTCCCATTGATATTTCTAACTCTCTACCTCTTCCCCTTTTTCTCTGTAAAAAAAATAAATCAATAAAATATCTATTTTTAAAAAATGTTTAGACCTGGAACACACAGAAAGAGGATATGTTCCAATGACTTTAATGAAACAGTTTTTTCATTAGGAATGAACCAATAACCCCAAACTGTCAGAAAAAAATGTTTCCTAATAACATGGACGCGTACCTGAACTCCCAAAAATGCCATCACGATGGAGTTGATGGTGCCCAGGATGCTCTCGGGGTCATAGGCCGTCGTGGTGTGATAAAGCACCTGAACAAAACAGAACAAGAGGCAGCACTCGCTCCCTGGCCATGAAAATGCACACGACCCGTAGACTAGATATAAGCTTCCACGCACTCCGATATTTAATGTGCTTCATTTTTACTGCAGAAACGCACGGCCAACTTGCAGGGATTGTAAGAACAATACCTCCGGCCGAGACAGGGTGTGTGACTGACACTTCAGAGGGGACCTGAGACCAAGGGCCAGCCATGGGCCAGCACCGCCACCTCGGCTTCAGGTGGCTCAGCGACACGACACACCCCTGACCAGTGTCAAACGAATTCCAAGTTCATTCTTTGGGGTCAATCCTGTTGTAACATCAACATCGTCCTGTCTTCTTTTAAGACAAGTAACATTTAACACATCTACCTGTTATTTTATTATAAAATAAGTTGTTGCCGAAACCAGTTTGGCTCAATGGATAGAGCGTCGGCCTACGGACTGAGAGGTCCTGGGTTCGATTCCAGTCAAGGGCATGTACCTTTGTTGTGAGCACATCCCCAGTAAGGGATGTGCAAGAGGCAGCTGATGGATGATTCTCTCTCATCCATGTTTCTAACTCTCTATCCCTCTCTCTTCCTCTCTATAAAAATTCAATGAAATATATTTAAAAATAATAATAATAAAATAAAAAATAAAATAAGTTGTTGTAGGAATTATAGGAATTTGGGAATACCCAGTGTAGCAGGTGCTGCAGGGTGCCACCCAGATTCCCCCTCCTGCAGGGCTAAAGCCTTCCCGCCTCGCTGCTGGAAGTGGCAGTGGCCCATAGCTCTCAGCCAAGTGCTTCTTCGGATCCGCCCCTGGCTGAAGAGAGCTGCCTCTCCAGGACTCAGACCCCCGTGCTGGGGGAAGTCCACAGCCCACCAGGGGACTAGGGCCAGATCCCTCCCCTCAATCCAGAACTCCTGCGGGCTACCCCAGTCCACCCCGCTCACCATAAAGTCAGCTGAGGCCTCCATGGGACCGGGATGCATTTCCACTGCTCTCTCGGCCCCTTCATTCCCCAGCAAGCCTGAGTCCCACGGGACTGCCTGCTACACTCCCCGTCTCAGAGTGAACCTGTCTCAGAGTTTGCTGCCAGGAAACCCCACCTGCGCCAACCTACAGAAAAGCGCTAGGCTTCGCGTCTGACACAATGTAGACTCACTTTGAAATCCAAAGTCATGTCCCCCCTACTGCCCCATCGTGAACACTGAAGTCCCCGAATTCAGCCACCTTTTCAAATAAAAATCAGTCCCTGTCCTAGTTTATGAAATGGTCACAACTGCCAAAACCGGTGTGGCTCAGTGGATAGAGCGTCGGCCTGCGGACTGAAAGGTCCCGGGTTCGATTCCGGTCAAGGGCATGTACCTTGGTTGCGGGCACATCCTCAATGAGGGGTGTGCAAGAGGCAGCTGATGGATGATTCTCTCTTATCGATGTTTCTAACTCTCTATCCCTCTCTCTCTTCCTCTCTGTGAAAAATCAATAAAATATATATTAAAAAAAAAAGAAAAAAAAAGAAATGGACACACTGAAAGCTGGCCTGCCCTTTCTGCCTTCCCTCCCTCCTGAGCTCCTGGTGTCCAGTTCCCAGTGCAAGCCGTGCCACTCACAGTAGAGGAAGGATGCTGATAAATGTGATCGTGTCCCAGGAGCAAGCGGTCAATGTAGCCAGCAGCTCCTCCGGTGCAATTCGGGTACGCCCCCAGGTCTCCGATACCCCCAGGCCCGAGGTAGCCGCTGGGGAGGGAGAACACGTTACCGGACAAGGCTCCAGAGGGATAAGAGTGCAACTGGCTGTGCACGCAGCCCACCAAAGAGCCAGGAACCCCTCTGGCACCAGGCCCTCTGACCAATGCTTTTTTTTTTTTAATGTCTTTATTGATTAAGGTATTACATATGTGTCCTCATCCCTCCATTAACCCCCCAAACAACCCCCACCCCCAGTCATGCCCTCACCCTCCTGGCGTCTGTGTCCATTGGTTAGGCTTATATTCACGCATACAAGTCCTTTGGTTGATCTCTCCTCCTTTCCCCCGCCCTCCCCTATCTTCCTTCTGAGGTTTGGCAGGCTGATCGATGCTGACCAATGCTCTTTCGACTAGACTGCTCCCACGTTAAGGCTCCAAAACTTCCATTCAAACTGATGCTGAAAAAGCCCCCCGGGGACATTCCTCTGGACACACACCACACTCTTCTCCCAACAGAAAGCGGCCTCCACGGAGAAGAGAGAGTGGAAGGGATTCCCTGGACTCGGGGGAACCTGAAAGCAGAGCCCCAGAGGCCTGAGGAGGCAGAGAATGACGAGTACAGAGGGATTCCCTACACGGGGCAACTTACGTGGGGCATCCGGGAACAGGTAAGAAGAACGTCAGAGCCAGCCAAATGCTCTCCAGCACCAGGATGACAAGCCACTGGGGCCAGCTGGACGTGATGTCCTGAAGAGAAGGGCACCTTCTCTCCTGGGGGAGGCCATAAAACACACAAGCTGAATGCAAGGAGAGCGAACAGGAAGTAGCATGCAAGCATGTGTATCTGGGACATTCCCTCTGGTTCTTCTCCTGGCCTTTATTGTAGCAATGCAGAAACACATGCATGTTTATCTCATATGTACTGCGTGACCTAGATATGTCCTCTCTATGAAGAACCACAGTAAAACAATAGTCACAAAGAAATCGGTAGATAATTCCAATCCTATAACCAAAGAGAACTGAACACAGATGTTCACACAAAAACTTGTCTACAAATGTACACAGAGTCATTAAAATGCTTATTAGCTAAAAAGCGAAAACAAGTCAAATATCCATCAACTGATGAATGATACAAAAATGTGGTTCAATCTCAAAATGGAACACTAGTCACCAAGGGATCCAGGAATAACACATGCACAGCATGGATGAACCTTGAAGACATTACGCTGAGTGGAAAAAAGCCAGACATAAAAAAACACACATATTGCATAAGTCCACTGATCTGAAACATCCAAAACTGGCAAATCTATAGCGACAGAAAGTAGATTAGGGGTTGCCTAAGGCTAGGGGACTTGTGGGAGACTAGTAGTGAGTGTAGGGTTTTTTGGGGGATAGTGAAAATGTTCTAGAACAAGATAGTGGTGATTGAGTACACAACTCGGAATACCACTAAACATCACTAAATTGTATAACTCAAACACGTGAGCTTTATGGTTTGTGAAATATGTCTTCCATTAGGGAAGAAGTAGCTGTCACCTTGGTAAATTCAGCGATTTATAGCAAGACAGAAAGTAATCACAAAAGAAGCAACTTGTAGAAACAAACAAACAAAAAAGAAGCAACTTGAATACTTCTTACAACAAAGAAACAGCCAAGGACGTACTGCCATCCTCCCACACTCCAGCTTGGAACTTCTCTCCACGTTGAACCTTTGCAGCCTTTTGTATAGATACTGAATGTACTACAACTCAAACAAAATACAGCCCAGCTGGTGTGGCTCAGTGGCTGAGCATTGGCCTAAGAACCAGGAGGTCACGGTTTGATTCCCGGTCAGGGCACATGCCCGGGCTTCAGGCTCGATCCCCAGTGTGGGGCATGCAAGAGGCAGCAGATCAATGATTCTCTCTCATTATTGATGTTTCTATCACTCTCTCTGAAATTAATGAAATTATTTAAAAATATATATATTATACGTAATATATATATATATGCCTAAGCAACTGGCTGATGGGCCGGCCAATAGCTATGATGCACAGTGACCACCAGGGGGGCAGACGCTCGTTGCAGGAAGGGAAACCACAGACATGGAAACATGGAACAGACTGATGAATCTCAGAGTGAAGAGAGGAGTTGAGAGGGTGGGAAGAGATTAACCAAAGACCTTATAGGCATACTAGAGACCCTGGCCTGCACCCTCTCTCAATCCAGGACCCCTCAGGAGATGGGGGTGGGGAGGGTCACAGAGCTGGTTTTGGCCCTATCTCTGCGGGCCAGGTCAAGGGACCCCACGGATACACAAATCCACAAGGAAATTAAAAGAGATTGATCCAGTAATTGAGATGATGGTGATATTATTTTAATGCAAATACCTTTTGTTACTGGACACTTAAAAATACGTTAAGAGGGTAGATCTCATGTGTTTTTGTTTTTTTACCACAATAAAACAAAACAAAAAAAACCCCTGACCAATAGGTCTGGCTGGGTAGCCCAGTTGGTTAGAATGAGGTCCAAATATCAAACCAAGATTGTGGATTCGATCTCCTTTCAGAGTACATACAAGAAGCAACTAATGAATGCATAAACAAGCAGAACAACAAATCCATGTTTCTCTCTCTCTCTACCTTGCTCTCTCTCTCTAAAAATTAACTTTAAAATGGCTGATATAAAGACTAAATAAAGCCCTAACCAGTCTGGCTCAGTGGACAGAGTGTCAGCCTGCAGACTGAAAGGTCCCAGGTTCGATTCCGGTCAAGGGCATGTACCTTGGTTGCGGGCACATCCCCAGTGGGAGGTGTACAGGAGGCAGCTGATCAATGTTTCTCTCTCATCGATGTTCCTAATGCTCTATCCCTCTCCCTTCCTCTGTGGAAAAAAAAAAGAAAAAAAAAATCAATAAAATGTATTTTTTTAAAAGACTAAATAAAAATAATTGAAGTAAAAAAGAATATATTTGACTAACAGCATCAAAGAATCTTCTCAAGTACAGTCCTGCACTCAGAACTAAAGCAAGCTGTACAAACTAGAGACATTTCCCCCCTCTTTTAAAAAACAGGGTTTCTCACCGAGACACAGCTCTCAGGCACCGGCTTGGCAAACAGGAGCTCCAGCACGGCCACCACGAAGTAGGTCGCCCCCAGCCGCTGCAGCACGCCGGGGATCCGCACCTTATCCCAGGACACTGCGGGGCGAGGCAGCGGGAGGTTAGCCAGCATCTCTCATCTCACCCAAGACACTCCTTTCTCCTCAGGGGGGAGGCACACCCACGTGGACCTGCGTGCGTCCTCTGTAAGCTCTCGGAGATGGAAACGCTATGTGTGGTCAGCAGACACAGCAGGAAGCTGGCCCGCTGGGAGGCTGGGATAACAGAAGTGTCTGCCTCGGGAATGGGGATAAAGCAGGAACTACCCTTAGCCCCGAGGCTCACCTCCAGGCCTTTTCCCATGAGACTATGGATTCAACTCACAATCCACTGACAGACTCTCCCTGCCCTACAGGCCACCGGGCTGGGTCACAGGGAGAGGGGAAACCCTATAATGAACCTATAATATATCCTGCGAGCAGTGGGTTGGCCTCTGGAGACCTGCCAAGTCAACTTTTCTGTGACACCTTCCCTTGTGACTCCAACTAGAAGTGACCTTTACCTCCTCCTGCCTAGTCTTAGTGGTTCTTGCCTGTGGGGTTCCTCTGGCTAGTATCTACCCTGTTTCCCAGAAAATAAGACAGTGTCTTATATTAATTTTTGCTCCCAAACACGCGCTAGGTCTTATTTTCAGGAGATGTCTTATTTTTCCATGAAGAAGAATATGGTACACATTTATTGTTAAATGAAAATAAAGGAAATTTATTACCTATATACGGTACGGTAGTACGGTAGTTGTCAACACAAACCAGACAAACTGTGAATTCTACAGTATTAAGAACTTATTTATTCAATGACAATCATGTCATCATCTTCTGGAACATCATCATAACAATCCAATTCCTGAATTTCCTGGTGAATTTCTTGTGACTCCATTTCTTTCAGAATCAGTGGACCAAATCTCTCATGTTTAGCCTTGGGGGGGCCTTATTTTCAGGGGGATGCCTTATATTTTTACAGGGGAAACCTGTAAAGTCGGTCCCTCACAGCACTTGTATCATCTAGAGAAAGCACTCCCATCTCTCATGGCAGGAGATGGGTTTAAGTGGCCCAGGTCTAAGAGACCAACAAAATAACAATAATGCCCAAAGTTATACAAGCATCATGTATACTTTTCTAATAACTATTCTTTTTGTAGGTGCCTGCGATGGAGAGATTACACTTCTTTCAAATTATACCGTGTAGTTTCCATATTTCAACCTGAATATATAACAACAGAGGGGGATATACTTACATGGACCAAGGCAATAATTGGGGTTCACAATGATAATTCCTATGCAGATTAACAGGAAACTCCTCCAGGCAATTTTCCTCAGTAGTCTGAATTTTGAACATCCCCGCTGCAGTATGGAATTCATTGATAGAAAAATAGAAGACCCCATAATAAACACAAACCTAAAAACAAACAAACAAACAAACAACAAAAAAAAACACAGCTATTACCAGATAGCCATTTCTAATTTTTTTGCATATATATATATATATATATATATATGTGTGTGTATATATATATATGAACAAATTTTAAAGTATCAATATTTTATAATCTGTTGCATAAGAGAAGCTACACATGATTTTTTCAAAGTAGCCAATTACTGAAATGACACCAGGTTAATAGCGGAAGAGACACAGCGAGGCGGTCGGGTTTGTGTGCCCTGAAGTCCGATCTTAAGAGGAAATTCTTCAGGACTAAGTGCAATTTCCAAGAACAACTGTCCCATTTAAACAGCAGAGAAATAAGGATGGAGATGCTACAATCCCATCAGCTCAACATTCACTGGCATGCCCTCCAGTCCTGGAGAAACCAACCACATACTCCAATCATTTCTCTCTCACTCCTGCTCCTGGAAGGAAAATGAAAGCTATTTTATTATTTTCTTTTCTGATTTTGTCTGAACCACGCATCTCTTCTCTTTCCTTTCTTCTACCAGACTAAATTCCCTCTTTAAACAAAATCAGAAGAGCAATTTCTCTATTCGGAGAAGGGTCACAGAGATGCGTTCCGAGCGACTGTACACCTTGGTGTCTCCCAGCTTCCTTTTGGGGTCATGGAATCAGATAAAAGCCCCTAGGAGAGGACCAAGACGCAAGCCACTTTTCTGAAGGGACCCTCACAGAGAATATATGTAAATAATTAGCAGGTCGCCAAAACCGGTTTGGCTCAGTGGATGGAGTGTCAGTCTGCGGACTGGAAGGTCCCAGGTTCGATTCCGGTCAAGGGCATGTACCTTGGTTGCAGGCACATCCCCAGTGTGTGTGTGTGTGTGTGTGTGTGTGTGTAGAAAACAGTTGGTAGATGTTTCTCTCTCATCGATGTTTTTAGCTCTCTATCCCTCTCTCTTCCTCTCTGTAAAAAAAATCAATAAAATATATATATATATTTTAAAATAAAATAATAGTAAGCTGGTCTGTGGGCTTGTAAAAGTTCCTCCTAATCTGGCTAAAACACACACACACACACACACACACACACACACACAAAACAAAAAAACCTTCCCCCCAAAAGCCCTGCATTTATAAGACACAGTTTCCACCTTGTAGATGGGGTCAGGGTCCCCCAGCAAGGTTAGCACACAGAGGAGTGAAGACAGTGTTCAGTGCTCCGTTGTTATTCCAAATTTTACTTTAGAATATCATTGCCCTGTTACAGACTTACCAGAATTCCCCGATACCAATAGACAGCGCTACTTTTAGAAGTGGTTTTTATACTTATTTTCAGGACTAGTGGTATTTGTCATTTCCTACAGGATTCCAGGACCTCGTGTGGTGCATTGTGTCCACACTAGCCAAACGTCCCCCCTGAAATCAATCATCTTTTATAGACACACGTCTAGGGTAAGCACTGCGCATGCGAAGTGTGAGAACTGTGCAGTGCAGCTTTTGGAAGGACCTCGTCTCCGCAGAGGCCTGTGAGTGGCACAGGCCTGTGGCCCAGGATGCAAGGCTGGTCTCAAGAAAGACTCCCACGCCAGCTGAGAAGAAACCCTGGAGAGGACCAGCCGGAGAGCTGGCGGCAGACGAACTCACCATGGGAACACGAGGTCAGCCACGGTCAGCCCTGCGGGGAAACACCAACACGGAGAGGTAAGAAAAGGGACTCAGAGTGTGAATACTTCCTAAACGGAAAAGGAAAACTTGGGGAAGGAGCACACCGGCCCTCCCCGGGACCCTGCGACCTGGGCCTGGGCCTACAGCCTTGCCTAGGAACCTGACTAGCGGGCGAACCAAACTAGAAGCTGTGGACAAGTCTGTTATCCTTATGCACTGCTACTCTAAACCCGTTCTCAAAGCAACCGCCACGGCCAACGCACAGCCGTCACTCAGCACCTCTCAGACCAACTGCAGGTCAACGGCCCCAGGGAGGACCGGGGTCTCTAAGGTGTGTGCCTGGCTCCACGGAAAGGCAGCTCTAGCACATGACAGGGCTCATTTACTCCTGAGCTCTTTTTCCTTTTTGTTGTTAATCCTCACCCGAGTATATTTTTCTACTGATTTTTTAGAGAGAAAGGAAGGGAGAGGGAGAGACAGAGAAACATCAATGTGAGAGACACACACGGACTGATGGTCTCTCGCATACACCCCGACCAGGGTGGGGATCGAGCCTGCAATGGAGGTGCGTGCCTTTTTTTTTTTTTTTTTAATATATTTTATTGACTTTTTTTTATAGATAGGAAGGGAGAGGGATACAGAGTTAGAAACATCGATGAGAGAGAAACATCGATCAGATGCCTCCTACAAATCCCTTACTGGGGATGTGCCCGCAACCAAGGTACATGCCCTTGACCGGAATTGAACTTGGGACCTTTCAGTCCGCAGACCGATGCTCTATCCACTGAGCCAAACCAGTTTCGGCTACAACTGAGTTCCTAACATCTGCAGAGTCCCTCAGTCTCACAGCAGAGACCGCAGAGTCTCCGTGTTTTCACAGTGAGGCACTGCAGAGCCACAGAACACAAAGGACAGAAGGACAAAATAAACTAAAGGTCATTCTATGGGGGCAGGAGCCTGCTGGGGCCTCGTCCCCGGCTCCTGAGGGACGCTGGGTGGCTCTCCTGCCCACAGTTCTCTGAAGGGGTCCCACTGAAGCGACGCCACCTTTAGGAAATAACTTACCATTCCAACTGGCATGTTTGAAGTACCAGTACTTCCCTCCTCCGTAATTAACGAAGACCATGAGGATGAGTGCTAGCCTGGGAAGCAAGAAGGAGCACCGTCAGGGCTGGCACATGTGACACAGGACGGCCGATGGTCAGAGTCACTTACAAACACAAGGCGCAGTCATGACACGATAGGGCATGTAGTGAGTGAGGAATGGTTGCTTCTCACCACCACAGTCAGGACCCTCCACCAAGGTCCCTCTGTTGCCAACATTTCTAACTTAATAAAGTCTGTGTGATTTTTAAAATATATTTTTATTGGTTTCAGAGAGGAAGGGAGGAGGAGGAGATAGAAACATCAATGATGAGAGAGGATCATCGACAGCTGACTCCTGCACACCCCCTACTGGGGATTGAACCTACAAACCAAGCATATGCCCTTGACTGGAATCGAACCTGCAACCCTTCAGTCTGCTGGCCTCTCTATTCACTGAGCCGAGCTGGTTAAGACATAAATGATGAAGTCTTAAGAAAAATTTACACTGATAGTAAACTGTGTAACCTGAAAGCAAAGCAAAAGATTCAATGCTAATTATTCAGGTGTCTAAAGTTCACAGTCACTAGAGCCAGACCTGAAGGTTCAAATCTTAGTGCTTTTCTCTTCTGGGTCAAAAGAACTTGGGCAAGACTCTCACAGGCACCTCCATGTGCTTCTCTGAAAGAGGGAACCTACCCCACACAGGAAACGCTGGGACTCTTACAATGTTCACAACAGCACCTAACCAGTGCTGGGCAATTTCTGGCACTTAGTAAATGTTAGCTCCTGTCTACCTAAGAATGTTTTATCTTCAAAAGTGGCAATGAGAATCAAAAATAAAAATAAATACAACAACACTGATTCTGGATATGCTATTGTTTGATGCGAATTCTGTGGAATGCAGGCAACAGAGACTTTAGTATGCTAATGTGATCATTTATGGGGACCCTGGAGCTCAACTGCTCCGGATCAAATCCTGGCTGTCCCGCCCCAGCCGGTTTGGCTCAGTGGATAGAGCGTCGGCCTGGGGACTGTAGGGTCCCAGGTTCGATTCTGGTCAAGGGCATATACCTTGGTGGCAGGCACATCCCCAATAAGGGGTGTACAGGAGGCAGCTGATCCGATACTTCTCTCTCATCGATGTTGCTAACTCTCTATCCCTCTCCCTTCCTCTCTGTAAAAAATCAATAAAAATATATTTTTTAAAAAAACACACACAAATCCTGGCTGTCTCAATCTTTCTGAGTGATCTTGGGCAAGTTATTTAATCCTCAATCTCTTCATCTGTGAAACAGGCATCTTAAACATATATACCTCATAGAGTAGTAAAGAGGATAAGTAAATTAAGACATGTTAGAACAGTCTTAGCATGTGGTGAGAACTCAAAACTGCTAGCAATTGCTTCTATTATCATCATTTTTGTTGTTATTGCCTGGCTTCACATATACACACCAGGAGCTCTCAGGGCTCTGCTGACGCTGGGACAGGATTCCAAGGTTATCACTGGAGTGAGAGACCCCGGTGAGTAGAAATGGAAGACCCGATACCTAGATATTTGTTTTCAGCTCTACACTTTTACACTTTATTTTCGGAGTTTCGTCCTGGCGTTCATTCTTTTATCAGAACTATAAAACAACTAGAGGCCGGATGCACAAAATTCATGCAAGAGTAGGCCTGCGCAGCCACGGCTGTCTAGACCCCTCCCTCGCAGCCGCAGCAGCCCCGGCTTAGGCTTTTGTCCAGGAAGTTGTCCAGAAGGACATGTGGTCTAATTGACATATTATGCTTTTATTATTATAGGTAATCATTTACTATACGATGCTGTAGGTTTGTTATAAAAAGGCCTGGCATTCTAGCTGTTTTGCTAGAGGTGGTGAAGGCTGAGAACAACTCTTTGGGGTGATGGTGTTTCGTTTCTAAACTAATGCGTCTTCTCACCTGTCAAGTGACTGACCGACCAGGCATGGGGGTGCATGTGGATGTGGGGACCCCACGTACAGCTAGTTGCCTAAATGTAAATGACCTTAACTCAGCAGAAGCTACACACCAGGGGCAACTGGCTCTGGTCTTGCCCCACTGCTCCTCGCCAGCTCACAGTACACTGACTACCAAAGCTTCCCAGTAAGGAGAGGATGCTGCTTTTCTTGCTTTTTTTTTTTATTAATCTTCACCTGACGAGATTTTTCCATTGACTTTTGGAGAGAGTGGAAGGGAGAGGTAGAGACAGAGAGAAACATCGATGTGAGAGAGACACATCAGCTAGCTGCCTCCTGCACACACCCTGACCAGGGCCGGGGAATCTGTGACTTGACTGGAATTGAACCCGGGACCCTTTAGTCCACAGGTTGACACTCTATCCACTGAGCCAAACCGGCCAGGGCTGTTGCTTTTCTTTTACAGCTAGAAATCCTTTCTAGCCTAGAAAGTAAAAGAAACATGAACTACATTAGCATAAAGGTGTGTTTATGTGAAAACATGTAGCCTGAGCCTGCCTGTGCCCCCGGGGGAGCCACGTACCCCCTGAACGTGTCCACGCAGCGGAGGCGCAGAGGCACGACGGACGGACGCCACGCTTCCGGTTGGGCATCGTCACCGGACAGGCCTGCCCTGCTTGGAGAGCCCAGCTCCTTCAGAGAAAAAGGGGAGACAGAGATTCAGACTGCCAGGGAGCACATTTCATTTTCCCATTGTTCAGCGAGAATGAACCACGTGGAAAGCTAAGGATCGCTGTTCGGAGCAACACTTCAATCTGCTTTTGTAAAGATCCCATCTGGAAGCTTAGTTTTTCCTTTGTTTGGTTTTTGTGCCTCTTGCTGAGCCTGCCATGCCTACGCTGATACACGCCCACGAAGAACTGGCCCATGAGTGCATCTGGGCAAACAATGCAAGCAGGAATGTCCGCAAGGGGGCATCCACAGGTCCATAATGAACTTGTCAGCACAGCAATATGCTTGATCATGCCAGGAGGCCTTGGCATTTACAGAATCAACACTGGTGTCTCTGGTGCTCAGTGGCCCTCTCTACGTAACTGGGCTGATCCAACTGCGCTGCCTGCAGAGCCAAACGTCCCCACAAGCAGCAGAGGGACAGTGCCCTTCACAGAGCTGACAGAGGCTGCTCTTTAGTAAGAATACAGGACACGTGGCCGGGCCTTCCACAATGTAAATAAGATGATTAAACCAGATACTGCAGATGACTAAATAGAGAACTGTAAATCCCAAACCTTCAAACCCACCCAGACCACACATGACACCTTCTAATAACTCACGGAGTTGATGAGGCGGTCGGTTTCCCGAGAATTTATTGCTTTAGAAATCCAATTATTGAAGTCATCCAAACTGTAAACAAACAGAAGGCACAGTTCTTTTGTTTTCTTTGGCAGAATTTCAAAATGACCGGATATCATGTTAATTGGTTAAAATGAAAATCACGTTAAGTTCAAATTCCATACAAGTCGAAGAATTAAACATTAAAAACTTTTTTAACATACAAAAGTGCAAATCAAAGTTTATAGCAACTGTATTTTAAATGCTTGACTCTTACAGCAACATTTTCTCATCAATAGGAATAGGAATAAGGAGTTGTTGTGAGGGTTTATTGAGGTTATTATTCCCTGTGGCTAGAATTCTTATTAATAATGCTAATAATACTAAGAAGAATTCTTATTAACAATATATCATATCACTGAAAGAAGAATAGCAAAAAATTTCAAACAAGCACACTCAATAGAGAAATGACCCTGTTACACGGTATATGACAGCTGTGTAATAGGGTGAGATACACCTATTAAAAATAACAAGGATGTGGCCTCTGTCTATACAAAGAAATACAAATCTAAACTGCTAAAAACAAAAAGCAAAAACCCGTTACACAGACTCAACTACAACTAACCTAAAATGCATATGTTGTGACTTTGGAGTAATTCAAATAGTTAATATTTTGGATTCTTATTTTCTAGCAGGGTACTTCTGTTCAAAAAGATATCCAGACGATATAAAACTGATTTACATGATTAACAAAAGATAAATATATTATCTGGTTTTTCTTTAAAATGAGAAAAACTCATTTTACATGAACTTCTACATAAACTTTATACATTTGAATTATCCAATACACAGGATTTTTTCCTTTTTTCCTTTTTTTTTTTTTTTTTTTTTTTTTAATATGACCTAAGGATATATTTTTTTTTTTTTTTTTTTACATATTTTATTGATTTTTTTTTTTTGCCCCCCTCCTTCCCTCCCACGTATCCCCTCCCTCCCCAGAGTTTTATGTCCATTGGTTGTACTTATATGCATGTATACAAGTCCTTGGGTTGATTTATTGTCTCCCCCAGACCCTCCTCCACTCCCCGTTGTAATTTGACAAACTGCTTGTTGCTTTACTGTCTCTATATCTATCTTTTGGTTCATCAGTTTATAATGATCTTTATTATCCACAAATGAGTGGGGTCATGTGGTGTTTCTCTTTCATTGATTGGCTTATTTCACTCAGCATGATGTTCTCCAATTCCATCCAGGTTGCTGCAAATGATGAGAATTCCTTCTTTTTTATGGCAGCATAGTATTCCATTGTGTAGATGTATCAAAGTTTTTGGATCCAATCATCAGCTGACGGGCACCTAGGCTGTTTCCAGATTCTGGCTATTGTAGATTGTGCTGCTATGAACATAGGGGTGCATATATCCTTTCTGATTGGTGTTTCTAGTTTCTTGGGATATATTCCTAGAAGTGGGATTACTGGGTCAAATGGGAGTTCCATTCTCAGTTTTTTGAGGAAACTCCACACTGTTCTCCACAGTGGTTGCACCAGTCTGCATTCCCACCAGCAGTGCACGAGGGTTCCTTTTTCTCCGCAACCTCGCCAACACTTGTCGTTTGTTGATTTGTTGATGTTGGCCATTCTGACAGGTGTGAGATGGTACTGCATTGTTGTTTTGATTTGCATCTCTCGGATAATTAGTGACTTTGAGCATGTTTTCATGTGCCTTTTGGCCTTCTTTCTGTCTTCTTTTGTAAATATTCTATTTAGGTCCATTGCCCATTTTTTAATTGGATCATTCATCTTCCTTTTATTTAGTTGTATCAGCTGTCTGTAGATGTTGGAGATTAAACCTTTATCCGTGGTATTATTTGCAAATATATTCTCCCATACTGTGGGCTTTCTTGTTGTTTTGTTGATGGTTTCTTTTGCTGTAAAAAAACTTTTTATTTTGATGTAGTCCCATTTGTTTATTTTCTCTTTAGCTTCCATTGCCCTAGGGGTAGTATCAGTGAAGAAGTTCTTTTGGCATACGTCTGAGATTTTGCTGCCTGCGGATGCTTCTAGTATTTTTATGGTTTCCCGTCTGATGTTTAAGTCCTGTATCCATTTTGAGTTTATTTTTGTGTATGGTGTAAGTTGGTGATCTAGTTTCATTCTTTTGCATGTGTCTGCCCAATTTTCCCAACACCATTTATTGAAGAAACTGTCTTGACTCCATTGTATATTCGTGCCTCCTTTGTCAAATATTAATTGAGCATAGTGATTTGGGTTGATATCTGGGTTCTCGATTCTATTCCATTGATCTATATGTCTGTTTTTGTGCCAGTACCAGGCTGTTTTGAGAACAGTGGCTTTGTAATACAGTTTGAAGTCTGGTATTGAGATCCCTCCTACTTTACCCTTCTTTCTCAGGATTGCTGTGGCTATTCGGGGTCTTTTATTGTTCCAAATGAACTTTTGGAGAGTTCTTTCTAGGTCGGTGAAATATGCCGTTGGTATTTTAATGGGGAGTGCATTGAACCTATAGATTGCTTTAGGAAGTATGGACATTTTGATGATGTTGATTCTACCGATCCATGAACATGGTATATTCTTCCATCTCTTTACATCTTCCTCTATCTCTTTTTTCAGTGTCATGTAGTTTTCTGCATATAGGTCCTTTACTTCCTTAGTTAAATTTATTCCTAGGTATCTTAATTTTTTTGATGCGATGGTAAATGGAATTGCTTTTTTAATCTCTGTTTCTATAGTTTCGCTGTTGGTGTATAGAAATGCCGTGGATTTCTTGGCATTAATTTTGTATCCTGCTACATTGCCAAATTCATTTATTAAGTCAATTAGTTTTTTAATGGAGTCTTTTGGGTTTTTTATGTATAATATCATATCATCTGCAAATAAGGATAACTTTACTACTTCTTTTCCAATTTGGATGCCTTTTATTTCCTCCTCTTGTCTAATTGCAATGGCTAGTACTTCCAGTACTATGTCAAACAGGAGTGGCGAGAGTGGGCATCCCTGTCTTGTTCCTGTTCTTAGAGGGAATGGTTTTAGTTTTTGCCCATTGAGTATAATGTTGGCTGTGGGTTTATCATATATAGCTTTTATTATGTTGAGGTATGATCCTTGTACTCCCACCTTGTTGAGAGTTTTTATCAGGAAAGGGTGTTGGATTTTATCAAATGCTTTTTCTGCATCTATTGATATGACTATATGATTTTTATCTTTCAGTTTGTTTATGTGATGTATCACGTTTATTGATTTGCGGATATTGTACCATCCTTGCATTCCTGGAATAAATCCTACTTGGTCATGGTGTATGATCTTTGTGATGTTCATCTGGAGTCTATTTGCTAGAATTTTGTTGAGGATTTTGGCATCTATGTTCATGAGGGATATTGGCCTGTAATTCTCTTTCATTGAGTTGTCTTTATCTGGTTTTGGTATTAGGGTGATGCTGGCTTCATAGAAGGAGTTTGGAAGTGTTCCTTCCTCTTGGATTTTTTGGAATAGTCTGAGGAGGAAAGGTTTTAGTTCTTCCTTGAATGTTTGGTAAAACTCTCCTGTGAAGCCATCAGGCCCTGGGCTTTTGTTTGCTGGAAGCTTTTTGATGACTGTTTCAATTTCTTCCCAAGTCACTGGTCTATTGAGATTTTTAGATTCTTCCTGATTGAGTTTTGGAAGGTTGTATTTTTCTAGGAATATGTCCATTTCGTCCAGGTTGTTCAGTTTGTTGGAATAGAGTTGTTCGTAGTATTTTGTAACAATCTGTTGTATTTCGGTGGGGTCTGTTGTTATTTCACCTCTTTCATTTCTGATTTTGTTTATTTGGGTCCTCTCTCTTTGTTTCTTGGTTAGCCTGGCTAGAGGTTCATCTATCTTGTTTATTCTTTCAAAAAACCAGCTCTTGGTTTTGTTGATCTTATGTATTGTTTTTTTGGTCTCTATGTCGTTTATCTGTGCTCTGATTTTTGTTATTTCCTTCCTTCTGCTTACACTGGGCTTTTCTTGTTGCTCCTTTTCTAATTCTTTGAGTTGTAGAGTTAGATCATCTGTTACCCTTTTTTCTAGTTTTTTGCAATAGGCTTGTAAGGATATGAACTTCCCTCTCAAAACTGCTTTTGCTGTGTCCCATAGATTTTGGATTGTTGTGTTTTCATTGTCATTTGTTGCCAGGATGTTTTTAATTTCTTCCTTGATTTCTCTGGTAACCCAGTCCTTGTTTAATAGCATGCTGTTTAATCTCCATGTGTTTGATTTCTTTGGATTATTTTTATTGTAGTTAATTTCCAGTTTTATGCCATTATGGTCTGAGAAGATACTTGATACGATTTCTATCTTCTTAAATTTGAAGAGACTTTGCCTATGTCCCAAAATGTGGTCTATCTTTGAGAATGTCCCATGTGCACTTGAGAAGAATGTATATTCTGCGGCTTTGGGGTGGAGTGTTCTGAAGATGTCAATTAATTCCATCTGGTCTAGTGAGTCATTTAGGATTGATATTTCTTTGCTGATTTTTTGTTGAGATGATTTGTCGAAGGGTGACAGAGGGGTATTAAAATCTCCTACTATGATTGTATTGCTATGAATCTCTCCCTTAATGTCCTCCAGCAGTTTTTTTATGTATTTGGTTGCTCCTGTATTGGGTGCATATATATTTACCAGGGTAATTTCTTCTTGTTGGATTGTTCCCTTTAGTATTATGAAGTGGCCTTCATTATCTCTTATTATGTCCTTCAATCTGAGATCTAATTTGTCAGATATAAGTATTGCTACCCCAGCTTTTTTTTCATTTCCATTTGCCTGGAAAACTTTTTTCCATCCCTTCACCCTCAGTCTGTGTGCATCTTTTTTTCTGAGGTGGGTTTCTTGTAGACAACAGATGTATGGGTCTTGTTTTCTTATCCAATCTGTTACCCTATGTCTTTTTATTGGAGCATTTAAACCATTTACATTTAAAGTTATTAATGATAGGTACTCATTTGACGCCATTTTTAATCTATACTCATGTTCCTTCTTCACTTAATATTTCTTTATTTTTACAGTAGACCCCTTAGCATTTCTTGCATTGCTGGCT